CATCTGCACCAAGAATGGGCTGAAGGTGGCAGGGGTTCCCCGGTGCGGCAGCTGGAGAGAGAGCTCTCTGGTAGGCAGACAATGCAAGGCCCAGGAATCTGTAAGAGATAGCACCCCGTATTTGCTGGAAAGGGAGTTTACTATGTGAACGCCGAGGAACAGATTGGATAAATCCCTGACGGCCTTTTCCAGCTTAGGGCAAAATTCAAGGGCTGCAGGAAGGTTAAGACCTTAACTCCTCAGCAGCCCCAGCACCCCCAAGGACAGTGCAGGCTAACGGAGCTGGGAGTCCTGCTGCCTGGCTTCTCTCCCGTGCTCAGACCTGCCCCCATCCCCCACCTCTCACTCCCAGCTGGAGCCTGAGAGGTGGAGTGACAGCATCACCCACTTCCCAATTTCCCAAATTCTTTCCTCCCCACTCAGTCTGACAGCCTTGACCAAGGTCAGAGTTCCATAGCAAACGTCTCAGTATCTTCCCCAAGGAACACTGAGGTCCTCAGCACACCCCACACATGGCTCTTCAAGCACGGGGCTGAAGGGACAGCAAAGGCAGGAAGTTGGATGAAGAAAGCCTTTGCTACCCTTCTTCCCCACCCAGCCCTGTCCTGGGTGTAAGCAGACTCGACAATGCTGGGGGCACGGCCCTTCCCTCCACCAAACCACTCTATACCCCTAACTCCACCGGAACTTGAGCCCAAAGACCAAACCAAAGGTTGTCACCCTTCATCTCTGATCCCTCTGCTCTGAGTGCTTGGATTTTTTTCCACAGATGTTTATTCTGACTGACCCTTTGTAACCCTCCCCGCTCAGGGTCAAGCCAGGAAGGCTGAGCCCAGCTGGCTGGAGAGCTGCTGCCCAGCATCTGGAAGACTATTCCCAGCAGCAAGAAGGTATCTAATAAGGCCTCTGGGGAACGTAGGGACAGAAAGGGGACAGTGGCACAGGGCTTGGGGTTCAAGTCCCTGCCTTCAACTGTGAACTGCATGCCAAATGCATCAGCATCTCAAGAGTGATGGGAAAGCAGAGGGAGGGTGGACGGAGCAAGACGGGAGATCCAAGCGTGGCGGGAATGAGCCTGGACTTGGAATCAGAAGCCCCAGGGCCCATCCAGCTCTGTCATTCACTTGAGCGTGTCGCTTACTTTTCTCTGAGCTTCACATTTGTGAAATGAAGGGGTTCACAGTGATGTGGAGACCCTCCATCCCAGCTGGGGAAGGGGAGGTGAGCACAGGGTGCAAAGGGTATCAGGGAGAGGGCTGCAGACCCTGGATGCAATAAGGGGAAGGAGTCCCCCTACCCCCAGGAAACAGCAAAGTTGGGGGAATGCCCCTGGGCCCAGCCCACCACCCTGTGCCAGGAGCAGTAACCACACACCCCCTTGCTGCCCTGGACAGCTCTCTCTCCAAGGGGGCGGGGGGCGGCATCCCCGAGGTGAGAAGTCCGAAGCTCAGCAAGGCCTGTGTGGCACAGCCCCCGGGATTAGCGCCAAATCCCAGGCCTCTCAGCAGGGATCACACGTCTAGTCAGCTTCACAGCTGTTTCGCTGCACCTGCCCACATCCTCCCCTCCCCCTCCCCAGCCCCTCCTCATACACACCCTGCCTGGCTCCCTCTCAGAGGGAAACGGGTACCCTGCCTGTGCCCTAGGCAAGCAGGGGAGGAGCTCCCGAGTGGGACAGTCAAGAGTGATCAGAGTCACCCTCAACAACACCCACCCCCAGCAGCCCCCAGGAGCGCCTAGGTACAAAGCTGAACAGAGGCGAGGGACGGTGGAGACTTCCCCCTGCCTCCCTGACCCAGCCCCCGTGGCTCTGCCCAGGAGGCCTTGGCCTGGAGTTACCTTGTCCTTGGGGCCACCCAGGCCCTTCCCTCCAGATGGTTCCTGTCCTTGGAGAGACAGAGGCAGGAGACCCAGACATTGTTAAAATGGCCCCACAGCTGGGAATCCTCAGCTCCACTCGCCAAGCAATGTGCTTCTAAGGCCCCCAGCTGTTGGGAACCTTGCCATCCACACCCCCCAACACCTCCCCCACACACAGCTCTTTGCTCTGAGCCACATCTATCCCCCCAGCCTGAGCAGGGGCACAACTTCCCATTCCCCAGTGCCATCCAGGCCCCTGGCTCTGCCCCAAATGCGACCAAACTCCCAAACCTGCCTCAAGAGGGAGGCAACAGCGTGGATCTCACTGGAGCCCCCTTCCAGGGAAAAAGCTTCAGGAAGGAGAGGAAGCTGAAGCCAAAGGCTTGTGGCTGTCCGTCTCAGCCTCCGGTAGAATGGGCAGTGCTGGGGCACCACGCGGCTGGGGCAGATGCCCAACGCAGGCAGAGAGCAGGTGCAGGGCTGAAGGGCTCCAAAGCACAGTGGCCCCCCACGCTCCCTCTTCTTTGATGTCTGCCCGCCCCCCTCCCACAGTCACACAGTGACCCTCTGTTCCTAGAAAAAGGACATAAGGGGGGGCCTTAAGATGGGAGGAGGGGGGCCACTGCAGGAGAGACATCCGGGAAGCTGGGAGGGGCGGCCTCCTCCCTCTGATTCCACACACTGGGGTAGCTGCAGCCTCACCCCTGTGGATTTACATAGCTGGGAACGAGAGTCGCTGGAGAGCTTATTCTGCAAAGGCAGTTGCCTTGGCTGTGCCCAGAGGAGCCCCCTCAGTAAGGAGGTTACCATCGTCGACCCCACCCCACGTGCGCGCGCCCCCACTCCCCCTAGCTCCCAGCTCTCACCTGCGCGTGGCGCGCCGCATCGGGGAAAGATACAGTCTCCGCAGTAGCTGTCGAGCGTGTTCCGCACGACACCAAGCAGAGAGGCCAGGGCTGCCTGGAGGCTGCAACCATGAGCGCAGCCGGGCGCCTAGTTGTCGTTGTTGTCGTCGTCGTCGCTGTCGCCTCCGCTGGCGCCGCCGGGCTCGGCCTCGCGGGACGCGCGCTGCTCGCGGGCCAGCAGCGCTGTGAGGCCCTGGGCGCGGAGAAGGAGGCCGCCGCCCAGAAACAGGACCCCGCAGAGCACCAGCAAGGACAGCACGCCCAGCACCACCGCCTGCACCGCGCGCGGCCCCTCGGGGGGCTCCAGCGGCGCCCCGGACTGGTTGCAGCAGGAGCTCAGCCAGGCGGCCCAAGCCGCGGCTTCCCCCTGAGAGTCGTTCATGCTCCAGCGTCAGCTGCCCAGATGTGCGTGGGACCGCCAGATGTGCGGGAGCCGGACTGGTGGGCGGGCAGGGGTTACGCGGGAGGGAACCAAGGGGCGGATCCCAGGCGCCCTAGGCTCCCACCCCTTGCGCCAAGCGAGTGTCCGGGCCCTTCCAAGACAAAGAGCTCCTCCAGTGTGGACTATGGCCCCTTCTCCACAGGCCCGGACTCCTGAGCCGGATTATTTCTTCTTGTCCGCAAGGCCCACACACCCACCCATGCGAATCCAGCCAGGCAAACCTAGGAGCCCTGTCTCCAAGACTCTCCCTCTCACTTGGCCAAGAAGGCCTGAGAGGTAGCACCTGGTCAGAGCCCTGAAAAGATCCTCAGACTCCATCCTAGGTGCTGGCTCTGAGCAGCACACAGAGCACACAGGACAAAGGTGACCCCCATTCTTGGGCTTTTTGTCCCTAGACCAAAGCCCTATACTGCTAAGTGGCCTGTCTGGCTGCTGGGAGCAGGCAAATGGCAGCCTGAGGGATCTGAGTGATTCATACCCTTCCTCTTCCATCGCCCCCTTTGGGAGCCTCCTGGAGCTGGACAAGAAGGCTAGTGCCTCCTCCAGACCCCACAGCAGGGAGAGAAATCACAATGCCAAAAGGGATGGGGATGTTACTGGTCCTGTCCACCAAGGCCAGCTGGCTACCAACCGGGTGTCCTATGGCCAAGCCAGGGTAGGAGAGTAGGGCAGAGTCTGCAGAAAAGTAGACTAAAGTCTGGGAAAGCTGACATGGAAGCAAGACCCTCCTGCCCAGGTATCCTGAAAAATGCTATAGCAAACCTTGAGTGCTCTTTTTAAAAATAAATTCACTGCCAACCAATCCCTATACCAGTCAATCCCTCAGAAGGGATGAGATTAGCTGACGGCCAGCTGGGAAGAAAATAGGAAGACTCCCTAGACTGCAGCAAGCCAGGTGGGGGTCACATGCTACCAAGGGTTTGCTGGGAATGGGCCTTCCCCATCTACAATCCCCCTCCTGAATCCTCAACTCTCTGATGCCCCAGAGATCAAGTGGGACATCACAAAACCTGTCATGGAATATCACATGGCCAAGGGTGGCTTGGAATGGAAAAAACATGAAAACACTTCCTGGCCATCCTGGCTACCTACCCTGCTCGAGGACCCTGGGCAAGACCCTCCACCCCCATTTCTCCCTCAGCACCCCTCCCTACACACCATGTAGTCTGGTTAGAACTGCCCCAAACATAACCAAAACACATTATAAAATATGGAAAAAATCAACAAAAACATAGCACACAACAAACATTTGAGTATGCTTGTGTAAAAAGGAGTACGAGTTACTAAAGCTATGTCCTAACAACCAAGTGAGGACCAGCCCAACCTGGAAGAAGTGTCACCAGATGCCAGTCTCGAGCTGGCCAATCTCTCTCCAGAGAGAGACCCCACATCAAATGACCTTTCTGGTGCACATGGGGGCCTGTGTGTGTTCTGTGAAGACAGAGAAGGTACTCTTTGGGGCCAACATGAAACAAGACCTGATAATATAAAGGCCAGGGATGTCATAGCTTCCTTAGGAAGGGAGTAGAGATAACTCAGTCACATCCAAAAGCAACAGACCCTCATCCCCTGCCCTCATTCATGGACTGGCCATGGTCATATCTGGGTGGGTAACACCTGCTTATGTGAATGTCCAACAAAGTGCAAAATCTGTCAGTTTTAATCTATCTTAAATCTCGTCCATCCATTCCCCTCACCTTAGAACAATACCCTCAACACACACATGTGTCTTCATGGGGATACCAGAACATGTTAACGTTTCCAGACTGAACACAAGCCAAAGGAGAGATGGCTCAACCCAAACTCACATTCTCAACTTTATTCACCATCTCAGTGGTGGCTCTTCTGTACAGTGGAGAAGGAAGGTGGACCCCACAAGGGGTGTGGAGAGACAGTGTAGGCAGGACTTGACCGTCAATAAAGGTTAAGGGGATGACCAAAGAGTGGCAACCGCAAACCAAGGAAACCAGGCGCTGTCCCTTCCAAGTCTCACCAAGGACCAGCTCCAGAGCCCCAAGGGCCTAACAGTACAATCCACAGAAGTCAAGGTCTGGGAGCCACCGAAGAGCTCCCATGGCTCCAGCAAGGCCTAGAGGGCAAGGGTGTCTTTGATCAGCCTGCGCATGGTGGTGGTGACCGAGGTGCCCAGGGCATCAGTGATTTGGAAGGAGATCTTGTAGAGGTAGGGCTGCACATCCCGCAAGCCTGTGTCAAACACGTTATCCACCTCCGACTGGGTGGGCATCTTGGGCAGGTACTCATGCCGGTTCATCACCTCCACAATGTTGATGATCTTCTCGCAGAGTTTCTCACCCACCTTCTCCCGGCAGATCTGCCGCTCCTGCTCTGTGGCCAGGGCTACCACGTGCACCTTGACTGTCCACACTTCCCATGGGATGCACTCATCTGAAAAAGGCCAGCGAGACTTCTTCTTCTGGTAGAACTCCAAGGACATCTGGCCCAGCCCATCACCACCAGAATTGCGCAGCGCATCCTGGGGAACAAGGAGTAAGAGGTGAGCAAGCCGATGCCTCTGAAGAGTTCAAGCCCCTTGAGGGCCTGCTTCCTATGCCCAAGAATGACTCTCAGCTCCATTAACCCTTTAGGGATGGCCCAGAGAGTAAAGGACTTGTGTGAAGTAACACAGCAAACTGCCAGCCTGAAACTGAACAGTTGGAGCAAACCAACAAAATCTGTCTCCAAGCCCAACTCCTCCAGCTTTGTTAAGAATTGATGCCATAAGAATAACTACCGACCTGTGGACACTTGTTCTGTGCCAGGAACTTTACACACAACCCCACTGGCTCCTCTCAACAATGCCATGCCTGTGAACGCCGCACCAGGGTTTGAATCCAGACTGTCTGATTTCAACTTTACATGAAGGGCCTTCTCCTTCCACAACTCACCCCCTAGCTCCAATCCTTTCAAATGTTCTCCAAAATCACCCCCTTGCCCACATCTCCTCCTTCCAGGTAAACCCTATTTGCCTTCTCTGCCACCAATTAAACACTGTCCTACTTCATTCACTTTATGATGACCCAAATTCAGTCTCTTTTAAAAGAGCAAGAAGAGGAGACTGTAAAGCCTAGTGATCCTTGCTTAGAAAGAGGGAAACCAAGGAACAGAATGGGGAAGGGAAGTCGAAGGACAGACCTGGCTGCTTCTCCCTCTTCTCCTCTGAGAAGCAAGTGAGACCATCTAGTCCAGTGATTCTGCCCTTCCCACCCAGGGGCATAGGTGGCCCCATACTCCTCCTCTGAGGGCAGCTGGGACCCTGAAGCACCTCTCCCTCTGAGTCAGTGCCAACCCAGGGGTAAGGATGCCTCTCTCAAATATTGAACTGCCCATCAGGAAACAGTCTCTCCTTTGTGAACAAACCAGGTCACGTGACCTCAAATGGCCAACCCTTCTGCAATGCTTACTGTGTGCCAGGCTCTGTTCCAAACACTGGACACATTTGACTCATTTAGTCCTTGCAATACATACACCGTATGAAGAAGGTACAATTATCATTCCAATTTTACATACAGAGAAACTGATGCCCAGACAAGTGGAGTCACTTGCCCAATATCACACACTTGTGAAGTGGTAAAGCCTGGCTCCAGAGTCCACACACTTAACCACTCTGCTCTAGCTACCTCTCACAGACATCGGAGGACAGAGAGCTAAATGCCACTGTCTCTTTTGAAGGCTGACTAGGAAACACCTCTTATGAACTTGCCCTTTTTGAGCCTGAGGGTGGCTTTCTGAGTGCTGTGGCCTGGGAGAGGGCTCCACCTGACACTGGGCAGCCCCTGCAATGAGCACAGAGCACCTGGTACAGTGGAGGGTGCAAACATTTGTGGAATGAAAGTCAGACACATAGCCCTCTTGCTCTGACCTGAGCGGGTGCCTTAAAAAAAGAAAAATTCCCTTTGTTACTTTAAAATTGAAAAATACCCACTTATTGAAATGGTGAAACACCGTGACTCTGAATGAAGACAATATTAAAACCACGCTGCCATTCCCACCACCTGAAGTGACCAACATCAGCAGGCTGGTGTGTCCCTTCCACGTTTCTCCATGCCCACACATACACAAACACATGCCACACTGCCTAAAGGACATTCTATCTTGAGCCAAGCAATCCTCCCTCTGCGGGAGTTTCCTGTGGGAAAGGCCAACTGGCGAAAAAAAAAAAAGTGGAAGCAGCAGCAGAGATAGAAGGTGGCAGTAGAGAGAACCGTGGAGCCAGAGCTGTGGTCAAGACCAAAGGAGCAACTGATCTCCCAAGAAGACCTGAGCACCACGCCGCAAGGGCTTGGGCTCCCCCTTCTTCCTCAGATATTTTCATGAGTGACCCCGCCACCACCAACCTCCACACAGACACACAAGCCCTTCTCCCCGAGAGGAGCTCTCAACACGCCTGTTCCTTAGAACTCAAAAGAACCTGACCCACACACTCGGGAAGAGTAACCTGCTCCACCCGCAAGCCAGGGTGGATTTGGAGGGGCATTCGAGGCCCACCTGCCATCTGCTGTGCCACACCCCTACCTTGAATTCCCCGACAACCTTGCGCAGGGCACGGTCCAGTTCCTCAGAAGAGACTCGCACATAGGTGAAGTCGATGAAGTCACAGTCGACATCCTGGGTGCCCACGGTGCCGATGGAGTACGTGCCCTCCTTCTTATAGTGGAACTTGCCTGTGCTCCGGTGCAGGAGCACCGTGTGCAGCACAGCCAGCATGGCCTCCTCCACCTGACGCCCCTCCACTGACACCTCCAGCACCTCTGAGCGACAGTTCATCCTGCAGCCAGCGGCCCACACTAGGGTGGGGTACAAGGATACAGACAGGGGAGCTTCACCCCACCCAGGGGTCACCCTGCAAGAAGAGCCCAGGTCAGAATGATGACACCCTCTGAATGATGTGCAATGTTACCTGTTTGCTTCCTTCTAGGCTCAGCTTGGCTTCTGCCTCCGCTGGCCCTTCTCTACACTTTGGCAGCACATACTATCAGAGAATAACAAACTCTCAGCATCAGAAAGAGCAAGAGCTTCAAAGTTACCAGCCCAAACAACCAACCAAGGCCAGGAGTCCATTTATGGCATTCAGTGCAGTGTACAGCAAGTGCTCATTACGCAACACCTGTCAGGCACTGGCCATTCAAAGGCAAGGATAGCCCCTGCCCTTGAGAAACGGATAGGATAAAACAGAAACAGACAAGTAAACATTATCGCAATGGTGACAGTACAAGGTAGGGGTAAAAAGAAAAGAAAGATTAGAATCTGATTTCCTGGGGCCTTGAATGACCAGGTTAAGGCATTTGGACTCTGTCCTGAGGGCACTGAAGTCAATGCATGACTGTGCCAAGACCAAACCTGTGCATCAGAAAGCTACCTCTGGCTAAAGGGCAAAAATGGCTCTAAACTATTTTGGAGTCACACAAATTGCTCTGAAAAGTCAATGAAGCAATGAAGGCTGGGCTTTAAAACCTGACTGACACACGCATATACACATCAAATCTCACATACTTCCAGAGCCGTCCACAGACTCCAGAGTAAAAACTTGTGAATTTAAGGCAGAAAGACTGGGCAGGGAAATGAGTTAGAGGCCATTATAATAGTGGCAGTTACAGAAGCAGCATAATTAGGTATGCAGGAGTGAAGTGCACAGTGTGAGAGTTTTCACATCCAACAGTGCTGGGTTTGAATCCCAACTCTCCTACAGCTTGCTCTGTGACCTTAAGCAAATCACTCAACCTCTCTGAACCTCAGTTTTCTCATCTGTAAATTGGGATGGTAGTGAGGATTAATTAAGATAACACATGTAAAACACAGTAGAATAGTGGCTAAAAACAATGACTTGAAAGCCGGACAGCCTGGATTGGAGCCCCAGCTCTGCCACTTGCTCCCTGGGTGATCTCGGGCAAGCTGCTTAACACCCATGTGCCTCAGTTTCCCCATATATAAAAAAAGATAATAATAGCTACCTTGGAACAACTATCTCAAGGAATGAATGAGTTACCATCCATAAAACACTTAAAGCAGTATCTGACAAGTAGTAAACATTCACTAAGTATGACCTGCCATAATTCATTATTACGCTGTTATGGTCAAGAGATGATGCAATGCTATACCACACTGTTGGAGGGAGTGGAAAGGAGGGACTTGAGAACCAGAACTTAGTAAGTGGCCAAATACGAGCCCAGAGGGAGAGGGAAGAGTCAAATTTCTTAGCTGAGCGTTCAACTGGCAAACATTCCCTAACAGGGAACTCACTACCTCTCACAGCAGACCATTTCATCTTGGGACAGTTCTATTCAGTTATTCCTTCTACTAAAGGAATCTGCCTCTTAGCACTTCAAACCCCTGGTTTTAGTTTTGAGATCAAGCCACACAGAATAGGTTTCACCCCTTTTCCACTAGAGACCTTTAATTATTTAGAGGCAGCTCTTCTGTCACCCCTCACTTCTTCTACAGAGTAAAGGTTCCCAGTGCCCATAAACATGCCTGCTCCACATCACATCTTATCTCCTTGGGGTCCTCATCTAAGTATATTTCAGTTTGCCTCTGCCCCTCTTAAACCCTGGTGCTCAGCACAAGGCACACAGCAGCAATCTGTGGACTGCTGAGAAATCAGGCTGGCGCTGGCTCTGCCTCTCGCCTGGCAACCAGCTCAGGTCTACTTGTCCTATCAGGTTTTATTCTTATCTCTCTTGCTAGACAAACAGCTTCTTGAGGAAAGGGACTACATTCTGCCCGTCACTCTAAACTCAATTCCTAGTACCTAGTACAAAGTAACTGCTCAGTTAGTCCTAACCTTTGGAAGGAATTCCAGGTCCTTCCAAGGGTTGCTGGATTAGTTTCTCCTACAGTCTTGGATCAAGGATGAGAAGGGCTCTCTTACTCATTTCTGCCTTCTAGTTTAACTTCCTCCAGCAGTTTCCTATCTAAAGACTCCCAGCTCTGGTCCAGCTCTTCCTTCCAGACTTTTCCCTCTTGTGTCTCCCCACAATCTTTCATACATGCCATACATGTCCTCACTTTTGCCCCAAGTCCAGGCTTTTCTCATTCTCGGTGCTATTCTAGGATTCCTCCTCCAGGCAGGTAGTCCTGACCAACCCCACTCTCCTTCCCATGGCAGCCACGTCTCATCTGTGATGAGCTTGTTGTTCCCCCTCAACAGCCCTACGGTGAGCAGGGGAGCTCCCCAGAGTAGGGCCTGGAAAGTCTCATCCCTCTGGTCCCCCCAAGTAGCAGAAGTTAACAGACGCCTTCTCGGAGCTAGGCTGGAGCCTAGGGCACCACTATTCCCACCTTATGCGCAAAGGCTGGAGCACAGGTTACTCAGGCTCGGATCATGACCTTCCTCCTCCTCCTCCTCCTCCTCACTCCCAGGTACGACCTCCGCAGATACGACCTCTGCAAGTAGGCTCCAATCTCTGCATGGGCGCTGAAGCACGAGAGACGGACTAAAAACAAAAACAAAGCATCAAGAGCCTGGAGCGGGACGCAGGAAGGACTTCCCGCGCGGGTCCCGTTTCTCCCACCGCCACTACCACCGAAACCTCCAGGGTCCAGTAACAGGGGAGGAGCTGACTCCTCGGATGTCTCGGGGGCGGCGCCCCGCGCCAAGCCTAGCCGGACTGGGGAGTTCCAGGAGCGCCCTCACTCCCGCTGCCCCAGGGAGCGCCCGCGCTTGCACAAGGCAGAGGACAGACGGCTATAACAGTGCTCTACCTCCCGAAGCCCCCGCCGGCGACCCGCCCACCACGTCGCCGCTCTCACCGCGGACGCCAGACAGCCACAGCAGCAGGCGACGCCGGGCCCGGAAGTGCGTCCCCCCACCCGCGGCCCGGAAGGGTCTACCTTTTCCGGCGGCCTCTGGCGGGGGGCCGTGCCCAGCGCGGCCAGCCCAACACAAATGCAGCCGCCCAGGTCGTCTGTACACTCATATTAGCACACAAGTATAGTCACATATTGACATGTCATTTGGGTTATGCTTTTTTCCTGATTATCTTTCGGACTTTAAGATTTGGTGGTGAGAAGTATCCCCCTCATTTGGACGAGTCCATTCGCTCCCACAACCGAGAACGCTGTTGTGCTTCGGCCGGGACAACTCACTTCCGCCATAGAGTCTCGAGGGAAGGAGGGGCCGGCGGGCTCTGCGCCGCCTCCCCAGGCGGAGAGGAGTCATCGGCGGCGAGCCCCCTCCTGGGACGGAGACTTAGTCCGGGCTGTGCGCTGAGAGGCCTGGAAGGGGCAGCGGTCCCCACAAGAGGAAGGGCATACCATTTGGAGACAGTTCCTGGAGAGAAGCCCACTCCAGTGTGCCGCAGGACGCCGAGTGGATGGCAAACGTGAGCTTGTCTAGTGTGCATAATAGACAGGATCCCTGGCCTCGACGCACACAAAGATGCTGGAGAAAGGGGCTTAATCAGAATCTCTGAGTGTTACCTCATACAGCAGCACCACCGTTCTTGTAAGCCTTGTAATTTTGCCATAGTTTCTCCATGTGACCCTTGACATCACTCATCCTTTCCGATTTTCTCCTCTGTAAACAGGGAGCTGTTGTGAGGATCACCAGAGATGACTCACGTGAAAAACCTTAGCGACCCGTAAAATGTAGTATGAATATGAGTGCATTTTTAGTTCTGTATAACTTCCCGGGATCGTGTTTGGTTCTCCGTGTAGATTGCAAGCCCAGGGCAGACGGGAGTTTGTCAGTTGCTCTGTTAATGCCTGCAGAGCCTGGCGTGCACCCACCTCCAACAGGAGGCACTCCTGAGTCGTTACTTGGGGATTAAGATGCTTATTTTCCAAACACACACTTTATCTCCCAAATCAATAACGTATAACATTTGTTGAGTGGAATGGAAAGGGCATGATTCTAAATGCCATATATATGTACAAATGTAAAACTGATTCCAATCAATCCTGTGAGATAGATAAGAAATTGACACTAGGAGATGTTAAGTAACCTGCCAAAGTCACTCAGGAAATGGCACAGACTGGGGTTCAAATCTAGGGCTCTTGACTACTACAGAAGTTCTCTTTCTGGCTTCTTCAGCCTACCCTTTCCATGCACTACCGCTCTCCAATAGCTCCACCCACCAGTGCAGAGCTGGTAAATGTCTAACACCTGCTCTCTGGAGGGAAATGCCTTGATTTGCCAATTTTCTACCACGGCTGTAGGGCATCACTGAATGTAGAGTGTGGAATGAATGAATGATTACATCTTGATGGTCAGGAGTACAATCGGCTCTTGAGTACCCATACCACCTGGCTGCAGCATACCACCGCCACCTCCAGAGGAGGGGGTCCTCTGGCTACCCTTCTTCCTCTTCATCTGTTCCCTATCTCCTTTCCTTCCTCCCCACAGTTCTGCCCTTGTTCAGCCCTTGCCTCTGTCCCAGTTGTGGGTGCCTTTCCCTGGGAAGCCTGAGAATATCCCCACGGCCTGGGGAAAGAGGAAGCTGCCTGCCCTACAGACCAGCAACCTCTTCTGGAGCCTGCACAAAACCAGGAGGTGATCAGGAGAAAATATTGAGAGGAAGGGTCTGTGAGGAGTCAAAGGAGGAGGGTCCAGAGAGTTGGAACCAGCCCTGAGATGGGGGAGGAGCCAGAGCCTAACCCCCAGAGCCTGCCAGTGAGCGAGGAGAGTGACTGACCTCTGTCCACCCCCAACACACTCCATCTCAGGGCTCTTTGCTGCCACTATCGTGAGATCATCATCATCATCATCACCATCACTACCACCAGTCATTGAGCCTTATCAGGTACCATGCCAGTACTTCATAGGCACTATTATACTGATTTTTCCAACTACCTTTCAAGATAGATATAACACCACCCCCCCTTCAATTTACAGATACTATATCTGAGGCTCAGTGATACGTAGTGGTTTGATGTGACAGTTAATATTATGTGTCAACTAGAGTGGCACACAAGGTGCGCAAACATTTGGTCAAACATTATTGTGAGAGTGTTTCTGAAGAGATTAACATCGGAATTGGTAGACTGAGTGAAGCAGATTGCTCTCCCCAGTGTGAGTGGGCTTCGTCCAGTCAGTTGAAGGCCTAATAGAACAAGAAGGTTGGAACTCCTCCTGCCTGGTTGCCTTAGAGCTGGGACATCAGTTATTATCATGCCTTCAGACTCAAACTGCCTTCAGATACCTGCTTTTCCTGGGTCTCACGCCTGCTGGCAGCATTCACACTGAAACTACACCATAAGCTCAGCTGGGTCTCTGGCTTGCTAACTTCAGATCTGGGGACTTGTCAGCCTAATGTGAGCCAATTCCTTATAATAAATCTCTCTGTCCACAGATGTGTGTGTATGTGTGTGTGTGCTGTTCTGTTTCTCTGGAGAACCCTGAGTATCACACTTGCCAAAGCCACACAGCCCCCTTCCCTCCTCCCACTAGTCCTTCTACCTGCTCTAGGCCCTACTCCAGTTCATCCCCTCCATGGGGCCTTTCCTGCCTGAGGATGAGGCTGAGTCCTCTCACCTCTCATCTTACATGCTAGCCAACCCTTGCCTCCTCAGACCTCACTGAATTCTTACAAGGCAGTTCTCATTGCAGCTCAGACCCCGGGTCCCACCCCTATCTGAGTGGTCCCCTGAGGGGGTGGGGAGTGGGACAGTGTCTTGGCTAAAAAGTGGGACTGTGTGGAGGGAATTCTCCCATCCTGTGCCCCTCCCCCAATGATCAAGATGTAATTGTTCATTCATTCATTCATGCCACACATTTGTAACTGTCCACATGCCAGGCCCATGTAATACCTTGTAATACCAAGGGGGACAAGTCACAATTCTAGCCCTCTGGGAGGTCAGAGTCTTATAGAGGAGCTGGACCAGGAGATACACCCGAGCAAGTGGAATGAAAGAAACGGCAGCAGAGTTTGTGGGGGCCGGGGGGGCCAGGATGGAGGCCACTGCTGTCCTCCCAGAGAGATGCTGGTAGCCTGGAATAGAAAGTGACACATTCAGAGTGAAGAGGAGTCCCAAGCCCTGCTCTCAGCAAGCTGGGAAGTGACTGGGCACCAGGAGAAACCAGGACGGCTGTGGAGAGGTCAGGGCAGCAACCTGAGGAGAGGGCATGGGTCCAGGAAGAAGCAGGCTGCAGGGAAGTATTCTGGGAAGGCTTCCTGGACACGGGGGCAGAAAAAAGCTGGGGGGGAGATCTTGGTGAGGACTGAGGGTGGAAACTGAGGGTTCTGGGGTGAGAGAGGTGAGGATAGAGAGGTCCAACTTCTCAGCCAGAGCCCAGAGCCACGGCCAGCTGGGCAGCAGGCGACTGACTGAGGCGCTCTGTGCCATGCCTGCAGCAGAGGCCTGTGGAGGGACCTTGAAGGCCAACCCGAGACCTTGGGAGTAGGCAGCTGGCTTTGCTGGTCAGTGTGGCCTCAGATGGCCCCACTTCATCCTCACATGTGCCCAGGGGAGAGCTGAGCCCCAACACTGACCCTGTAGGCCACCCCAGCCGCTCCAGAGCTGACCCCAGTGGCGTCACAGGGAGTGACTCAAGCCCCAGCAACAACAATGAGTGGGACTGACGTCAGGCTGGGGGCTCCTGACGGTGGCCAGCCTGGCTGGATAGCAGCACCCTGCCTGCTGACCCTCCTGTGGAGCCAGGCTACGGGGGTGAGGAGGAACAGCTGTCCCCTTCTGACATCTGCCCTCTGGGATCCTGGGCAGGGGCTCCTCCACCGCCCACCCTTTCTGGGACGTCACTCGCAGCCCCCGCCCTCCGTGGCAGAGGAAATGGCTGGGCGGACGGGAGAGTGGTGGAGAGCGTGAGAAAGAGGCACCTCCCAGCCCCAACCTGCCAACCTCATCAGGCAGCCTGGAGACCTGGACCAGGCCAGCGTAGCATGTCTGCTGTCTGTTCTCCTGACACTCCGGTGATCGTCCTTCCCTGCTGGGGAAGGCTCATGTGCCTGGCCCAGTGGGGGTGGGGTGGGGCTTTATTTCTGTGCATCCGTTCCTCAAGGGTGAGGGGCTGTCTTTCCTTCCCACAAGATCAGTGTGTCTGTCATTGTTTGGGAAAGAGGATTCCTTGTGATTGTGCTTGCAAAAGGGGAAAGCTGTTTTTCTACCCCTGGTAAGGGAGCCTCTGGATCTACCTCTGGGGGATTGTCTTTCTGTCCCTTGTTTCTTGTTGGGCATCTCTGTATCTATCCTCATGGCATCCCAGCTACCTGGGCCCCTGGGATGGGGTCCAGGTTTCCTGCTTAGCCACCTCAAGGCTGGACTCCGTAGGTGGGGGCCTCTTCCTTCTGACGCTCCCCAGGCTAGGAGCGCAGCAACAGTCAGCACCCCGCCTGCCTGGCTTGCAGCTGGGCACCGCTCCCTGCTAACGCAGCATGTACCAGGACAGGCCCCCCCCCAGCACTCCCTTCCCTGTCCCAGATGCCACTCCCAGCCCCTGCGGCCACACCAGGACTGATTTATGGTCCCGAGTTGGGGCTGGAGCATGCCAGCGCCTGGGTCAGACCTCAAGGAGACCTCAAGTGGCACCCCTGGCCTGGCAGGGTCAGGGCCCAGCAGAAGATGAGGGGGAGCCGGGCTGGTGGGGAGGATGAACAGAGTGAGGGCCCCGGAGTGGCAGCAGGAGGCAGAAACCAAGGCCCGAGCCTCCAGGGGCCCATGGGCCTCAGGCCAGCTGAGTCCAGCTGGAGACCCCGGAATGTGCCGCCTGCCCTCAGAAGTCTCCCGCTTGTGTGGGAAGGAGATGCAGGGGAGTAAGGGAGCTTTCCTCTGCCTCGCACCAACTCCTTTCTGTGCCCACCATAGAGGGCCACCTGGGCCTTAACCACACAGCCCCCAGCCTGGGGCCGAGGAAGGGCCTGGGCAGAGGCCTGAGAGCCTGAGACCGGAGCAGGGATGGAGGCAGAGGTTTGGGCAGAGACCACAGCCTGGGGCTGAGCGCTGGCTGCTCTGGGGAGGACAGAGCAGCTGCCAGCTGAGCTGAGGGGCTGCAAGGCCAGGCCCACACAGGGCTGGATGCAGGTAGACAAGGCTCACCCCTTGAGCCTCATCTTCTGAGGGGGCCCAGCGGCCCTGGGGCCTCTGCTCGGTCCGGGGCTGGTGGGCTCATTCAGATGTCTGAGGTCACACTCCCTGAGGTTCCCAGGCCTAGCTCTCACACGAGGGTGCCCCAGCAGTGCCCTTGCCAAGGTGCGACTCTGACATGGCTGGCAAACTGACTCGTGGCTGCAAAAGGATGTCACTGCTGACTGTCCAGTTACCACACAGCAGCCACCCACCCCCGACAGGCTCCCGCTCACCCTCTCAGGCTTCCCCGTGTAGCCACAGAGCTGGGCTGCCCCATGGCTGAGCGCGCGGGTGCTCAGAGTGCGCCACACGGTCAGCGCAGGTCCACCACAGCACGGTCACTCGTGACCTTCAGAAGCTCCCCACTTTCCTCCATCACCAAGACCTGGTGGCCAGAGCCCAGGTGTGGGGCAGCTTCCTCCACCCCTGGTCCCGGGGAAGGGCTATCACGCACAGACCCCTGGGGTGCAGAGCTCCCCTCTGTCCCTTGAGTCACAGTGGCACCTCAGGGCTGGGGAGGGGGCCAGGCTTCTGGGCATGGGGCCCAGCGTAGGTGGGGTGGGGGAGACAGGGAGGCAGGCTTCCTGGGTCTCCGTGTGAGGACAAACAGCAGGCTTTGAGGCCTTGGAAAATCCCGCCCGGGGTTCCAGGCCCTGCCAGCGTCACTGCCTTTTGACTATTGTCCCTGTCGGAAATGGGCCCAGCCCCCGGCCAGCCAGGACAGAGCAGCCATTGTGAGGCCCCACCAGGCTCAATGCCCCCTTGTTTGCCCTCCCAGCCCCTAGCAAGACTTGGAGGCCAGTTCTTCCAGTTGCTTAGTGGGAAGAAAGGGTCTGCCTCCAGGCTCCAGCCTTGGGTGGGGCAGGGTGGGGCAGGGTGGGGCTGGAGGCCTCAGCCCCTCTCGCTCAGTACCCCAGTTGCCCGAGTCCTGGAAAGGAACCGCCATCAATGGAGCTTCTTTTATTTTCGAGGGCCTGGGCAGGGAGACCTAGTGGTTAAGTAGCCAGACACACCCAGCTCAGCTACTTACAAGCCAAGTGACCTTGGGAAAGTCATTTCCTTTCTCTGAAATGAAGTCTCTTTTGTAAAAACAATAGCTAATATTTACTGGGTACTTGCTACGTGCCAGGCACTCTTGGAAATTCTTTATATGTATTCTCTCCTGTAATCCCTACAGCAACTTTATAAAATAGATACAATTGTTTTCCTCATTTATAGATGAAAGCAGAGGCACAGAAAGGTTAAGTAACGTGCCCAAAATAACACAGCTGTAAGAGCTGGAGCCAAGATTTAAACCTAGGCGGTCAGCTCCAGTGTCCTTGGTCTTTACAACTCCACAGCAGTGCCCACCCGTCAGGGGGCGGGATCATGCTCTCCTCATTGGACGGTAGCGAGGGCTAGAAATAACAAGCATCACGTGGCAAGAATCTAGCCGGTGGTGACCATAACGCCCAGTAGCTACTATCATCAGGACAGGGCTTAGAGATCTACAAGGATCAAGACCCTCCCTCTGCCCCACCCTGTTCCCAAGCATCTAAGGAGTCCTTTTGCCTCCCCCAGGGGCTGTCCTGCCCCACATCTGTCTGTGCTAAAAGCAGGAATCTGGAGGAGGGTGACCCAAAAGAAGACTCAGTCCAGCCACAGCTGGTGGGGTATTTACCAGCAAGCTCTGTCTGCTCCTAACCAGAGCACTGCCACCAGACTCAGCTCCCTGCTGAACAGACAGGGACACCGAGGCTCAATGAGGAAGGGGAGCTTCTTGGAGGGCAGCATGGAGTTGGAGGCAGGACTGGGGACAGAAGCCCATCTCTTGATGGCCCAGTGCTGTCAGGTGCAGTTGCTGCTGACAGAGGCCCACTCGGGGGATCTGGGGGGGTGCCAAGGATACGTGCCTGGAAGTCCACAGCACTGCTGGGGGTGGTGGTCGCCCCACCCCAGCCCCACGTGGACACTTCAGAAGGCCTGAGGCTGGACCGTGTTCCCAAAACCCAAGTGAAGGCATTGGCTGGGGGGCCCTTGGGGAGCCTGTAGGCTGTGGCTGGAGCACCGTGAAGGCCCTTCCGTCTCCCCTACCCAGGGGAGAGCCCTGTTTCATCTGACCCACCTCCAGCTGCCCCTCATCCAGCCAGTTCCCAGGGGCCATGGAGGTGGAGACTCAGGGGGCCTGGGCCAAGGGCTGTAAGCAACAGGTGTGAGGGCACAGCCTTTAGGGCTCCTACCAGGTCCTGGGGAAGGAAACGGTGAGGCTGGACAGGCAGTGAAGGGTGCCAGGCCCCGCCTGGTGGCCAGCTACCTTGGGCCTCATGTTGGGTCCATCTAGATTCGTGTGTCTCAAAAGGGTGGCGCCCAGACCACCTGTGTCACAAGCACCCAGGCACTTGCTGCAAGTACGGATATAAGGGTCCACCCCTCACCAAGTCTGAGTCTCTGGGGGTAGAGCCTAGAAATTTGCTTCCTTCTTTTTTCTCATTAAGCCCCTTCCTTTCTAGGAGGAATCTACATTTTAAGCCAGCTGACTAAACCACCGATGAGCCTGGAGGCCACAGGTGGGGATCTCAGTACAACCTTGCCACGAAGGCGAGGGCCACCAGCTCCCCGGATGCTGTTGCTGGGGTGGCAGGGGCGTGGGGAGGAATGCTGAGGACAAGGATGGAAAAACACTTTAACTGGATACCAGCAGCCACTGCCATCTGGGGCTTATCCTACCCAGCCCATGCGAAGCACTACACAAACACACTCCTCTGGTCCTGAAAGCTCCACGAGGCTGGGCCTACCCTCTTCCTGTTTTACAGATGTGGAAACCAAGAATCAGAATAACTTGCCCAGGTTGGGAAGTGCAACGACAGCCCTGAGACCCGCAGCCCGGGCTATCGCTAGAGCTGGTGCTGTGATCCCTGGGCTAGTTGCTGCCACTGAAGGCCCTAGCACAGGCCAGGCAAGTTTAGTGGAGGCTCCCGTGTTAGCAACCAGTCTAAGTGCTGTGCACAAGCCTGTGAAGCAGGTGTCATCACCATCCGCCTTTACAAGTGAGTACACTCAGGCCCGTTGGCTCAGGCTGGTAACATCCAGGATCGATCCAGAGCCACCCTGTCTCCTATGTCATTATGGGGGACAGGGGGAGGGTGTCAGAGAGAGACTAGATCCCAGTTTCAGCTACATGTCTATTTTTTATTCAATATATTAAATATATTAATCAGAAAAGTCACATACTATAAATCCAGGAAAATACACAAATATAAATGTCAGAATCTGTCATTTGTCTTCTTCCTAGAGTGACAGTTTATGTACACGTGGAAGGAGGGTGGGAAGAGAGCGCCAGCAGGAGGAGGCTGGAGAGGCCTGCCCAGGCCAGTGGGGGGCCCGTCCCTTCCTTCCAACCCCCACTCCCACCTCAACCTCTTCCTTCCTATATTTACAGCGTCATCCAGCTTATGTACAGCATGGCAGTGTGTGTTAAAAACAGTTTACTTACAAAAAACATGAAGGCCAGGGCTGGGCTGGGGGGTAAGACAAATAGTGGGGTCACCCCCAGGAATGCACCCCCTCCCCCGGGGCTTGAGCTCCCTGCCAACCTCCTGGAGCAGGCGAGAAGGTGGCCCAGGCTGCGGCTCAGGCCTAGGCTTGGGGGTGCTCTGGGGGTCCGTGGGCTAAAGGCACATGGGGCGGCAAATGAGAGTGCACACAAGTGTGCACGCGTGTTCCCGGGCTGGGGTCAGAAGGGCAGCGTGTCCATAAAGATCTTGTCGATGATGGGTGGAGGGGGCACCAGGTCCTCCAGCTTGAGGTAGAAGATGCGCTGTAGGCCCTGGGTGCACAGGGTCCGCAGCTCGGGCAGTTTGCCCAGCAGGCGTGACAGGCAGCCGGCCGGTTGGGGCTCGCCAGCCATGGCGGACACGTGCTCCTTCAGGCAGCTGGCAATGCGGTTCTGCAGCTCCTCCACCCGCCTCGGCTCCTGCAGCCCGTGCCGCTCTGCAAGGAGGGTACAGGATTACCCACACATCTGAGGACCAGACCCCCGAAGACCTGGCCTCCCCCCGGGGCCTGTAAGCTGCTGCCACTGGCCACCCCTCAAGCTCCTCTGGCACGTCACTAAAGCACGAGCCCACGTGTAAGCCTCAGCACACGTCTGATAAGGCAGTAACACTCATTAGCGTCACTTTCCAAGTGAGAAACCCAGGCCCAGCCAGATTAAATGACTTGCCCAAGGTCGCAAAAAGTAAAACCCTAACCCAGGACTTCTGGCTAGGCCTGTGGTTTTTCATCTAGACGGTTCTGAGAAGCCCTGGAGTTGGGCAGCAGTGTTTTAGGGGCTGCCTCCAAGGAGAGTCAGCTTCAGAACTCGCCACTCCCTCTGCAGCCCGGACCTCCGATTGTGTTCTAGATAGTTGCTTCCTCTGGGAAATTTAAGTGAAAAAGGAGGTAGGGGCAGATTCTGGTGCTTTGAAAAACAAACAAAAAAATGAGATCTGAAACCCCGTATTAACACCAAAGTCCATCCTACACAACTGTGTTACATGAAGTCCCAAACAGGCAAAGCTAATCTGTGCTGTCAGCAGTCAGAGCAGTGGTTACCTTTGAGGGGACAGTGGCTGGAAGGGGGCACAAGGAAGGGCACTGGGGGGCTAGTCATGTCCTCCTTCTTGACCAACATCTGGTTATGCAAGTGTGGTTTATGAAAATTTATCATCTGTGTATGTTTCTGTATGCAGTATAATTGACAGGAAAGGTTTCAAAATAAACCAAAACCCTAGGCCACATACATGACACCTACAGTCTATCTCCCAGGCAGTCTGGGATCACTGAGAGGCCGGCTTGGGCTGTGGAGTCAGATGTAGCAGAGCCCCTCTCCAACTCCTGTCACCTCCACTTCACAGGTGGGTATGAGCATGGGGCAGTGCAGGAGCCCAGGAAGTGCCAGCCCACCCAACGCCCTCCTGAAGACCAGTCAACTCCATGACACCCACCCCCTTGGACCCAGCTTGGCGCTGGGCACTTACCTGTGATGAGGACCAGAGCAGACAGGCAGGAGAAGGCAGGGACGTCGACAACCAAGCTGTGCAGGGACCTGGAGAAGGCCAGGATGCTGTCAATCCAGTCGCCGAAGCCTCGGGCACACTGCAGCCGGTGCAGCACCAGGCCGGAGCAGAAGATGAGCTTCCCTTCGCCTGGCTTGGACCTGGTGGGCAGGGGGGCATGGAAAGTGGTCAGGGTGGCTCAAGGGTAAGGACAGAAGAGGGAGGGGCCAAGCAGACAGCGGACAGCTCACCGGTAGGCCAGGCGGAGGATGAAGAGCTCCAGGAAGGCTGACTCCAACAGCAGGTCCTGGTCACCCGGTGACAGCTCGGCAAAGCCAGGGATCTTCTCGGCCCACTTGCGGATGACCTCCAGGGAACTGGAGAGCAAGTCGTAGAATTGCTGCACATCCCCGGCATCTTCCTTCCCAAAGCGGGGCAGCACCAGCTCCTGGAACTAAGAGGGCGGTCCAGTGCGGTCAGCACCCCAGGCAGGGTCCTGCAGCGCCCCTTGTCCAGCTGTGTCCGACACGTGGAGGCCAGATCCCGGGAGTGAGAGTGCACCTGAGACTCGGCCTACGCTCTTACTTGCCGAGACTCACGCGTTAACCCAGCGCTGCAGCTCCCAGAAGGAACATGTTTTTTTAACTGGCCACCTGCCTGAGGGGGTGCAATTTCCCATCTGGTCAGCCCAGAGGGGGCTCCTCTATTTCTGATTTGTCAGATTGGAGGGGGGCCTTTTCTAACATGCCCAAAAGCACATGTGCACGCACAGCCTTCCCAGGAGCAGCAGCGGGGCGGGGCGGGTGGGGCCTCACCTTGGAGTAGTCCAGTTTGGCAGCGCTGGGCCCAGAGTCCAGGTGCGCCCGGACCAGGGAGGTGAGGAGATTGGCAGGGGAGGCATCCGGGGGCTGCTTGGGTTTTGAAGGTAATCGGCCCCGCCGCCCCTTCAGGCTGTCTGTACGGACAACTGCAGAGGAACAGGCAGGGGTGAGGAAGGAAGGGATCCTCAACCCAAGCTGTGCACACCACTGCTGAGACGAACCCCCCACCCCAAGTCTCAAGGACCCACAGCCCCGGAGATCCACTAAAGGGACCTTCTCCTACCACCACCCTCACAAGCCAGGCAGGCGGACGCTGCCTCCCACTCAGGCCCAGGGGTCTGGAGGTGGGGGTGGAAGAAAGGTCTAGGCATGCCCTCCCCTGTGGTCCTCCAGGGCAGAAGCCTGGGGACTCTGCCTGCCCACCGTGCCCAGGCCCACCTCTGCCCTGCTGGGCCCCATCCCAGGCACACACCTTCCTTCACCATGCCCACAGCCAGGCACTTCTGGAAGCGGCAGAACTGGCAGCGGTTTCGCCGCCTCTTGTCCACAGGGCAGTCCTTGTTAGCCAGGCAGATGTACTTGGCGTTTTTCTGCACTGTGCGCTGAGTAGGGGGGGCAACACGGAACAGGCTGTCAGAGGGGGGGAGCCCAGGGGAGGGGACCTTCCAGATCCTGCTGCCATTACAGACAAAAGCGCTCTCTGTTCACAGCTATTTTTCTAACATTTGGGTGGCAAGGGAGGGAGAGATGGAAGGGGGTGTGGGGAAGAGAAAAGTCTTAGAGACACTGGAGGTGGTTTCTGCCTCAGGAGGACCCAGGACACAGGTCAGGGGCTAGGAGCTCCCCAGCAGTCCAGACACCTGTACTTTCTAACGTGCCTGTGTCCGCTGCCCCTTCCCTGGGCAGACAGGAGAGGGCCAAGGGGCTGGGGGTGGGAACCGGAAGCTAAGCAGGCACCCAGGGCTGGGACAAACACACAGCCTGTTCCCGAGTCCACCCCCAGCCCTCAACAACCAAACCCTCTGCCCAGATCCTTTCATCTCATGCCAGGAACACGAGAGCCTGGGGCGCCCCTTCCCACGAGGACCTTGAGTTGAGGGAGGAGGGGCAGGGAAAACCAGAGGCTGGCTGCTACAACTTCCCTCCTGGGGACCCCTGCAGCCTGTGTCTCACCCCTCCCTCAAGCTCTCTGCAGTTCCATAGGCCCCTGCGTGTCCTGGCGAATGAGAAGTTCCAGCCCCTGCCTCTAAGGGTCTCTAGGAATGCAGCCCACCTGACAGGCCTTCCCCCTTCCTGTGGGACACGACCAGCCAGGAGGAGAACCCAAGCGAGGCTGCCACAGACCCCAATGGGTGAGAGACCAGCCCCACTTCACACAAACAGCCCCACCCAGGGTAGCACAATACCTTGAAAAAGCCCTTGCAGCCCTCGCAGGTGCGGACACCGTAATGCTGGCATGAAGCGCTGTCCCCACACACAGCACAGCGGCCCTCACTTCCACCTGGGGCCCCGCTCCGGGCTTTGGCTGAGGTCACAGGCGCATCCAGTATCCCTGAGCCGTCAAGGTGTGGGGAGGTGGGCGCCAGGCCTGGGAAAGCTGTTGGCATGGAATAGCTCTCTCCCTCCCCCAGTTGGCGAGCGGCCTGCGAGGGGAACAACTTCAGGGAGCTCTGGGCCAGGCTGGTGCTGGGGCCGGTGGGGGGACTGAAGGAGAAGAAGGCTGGAGGCTGTGGGGGCCCAGACACCTTGGGCAGCTGCTCTGTCCATGCTCGTAGGCCTTCGTAAGTCTGGCTGGGTGAGAAATGGCCGAATGAGCCGTCCCAGGGAGAGAGCTGGGGAGGCTGGAAGCTGGGCGTGGACGGTGACGGGGCCGAGCAGGGGCTGCCATAGTAGTCAGAGCCGCTGGAGGACAGGGTCTCATCTAGTGGGCCACTCAGGGGGCCAGGGTAGCAGCCATACACCTGGAAGTCCTCGAACTTGAAGGAGGCAGAGGCAGGGGAGGTGGCCGAGGATGAGGATGTGGAAGAGGCCGAGGAGGAGGCCGAGGAGCATGGCTGGACTGTTCCTGGGAGCTGGTAGAAGAAGGTGTCAAACTCTCCTGTGTAGCCATCCATGAAGGTGCTGAAGCTGGGCAGCGCAGTGGGGGCAGCGGGGGCCGCCTCAGGGCTGGCCAGGTCCATAGTGGGCTTGTTGAACTCGGGGGTCAGGGGATCATTTGCCAGATGGTCACGCGGTCCTGGGCTTGGTGATGGCGTCCCATATTGGGCTTGGATACAGGGCATCTCTGGAGAGGGAGGAAACCCCAGGAAGCGGAGGGGAAAGGTCAGTGAGAAGAGCTCGAAACCTGGTCTCAAAGCATACAGGCCCCAGAGCAGCCAGGTGGCAGGAAGCCCAGCCCAGAGAGGGGACACTGAGGCATCAGGACCATGCCCACCACAGAACCCAAGAATCCTGACCCCTGGCCGGAATACCATCCCGACCTACGTGCCACAAAGCCCCTGGGCAGTGGCCCAGCAAGAGTGGGCTCAGTCAGAAGGCCAGCCACACCCCAGTCGGCCTGGGAACCCTGGGGAAGGCATCCAGCCAGCATTTCTCTGCTGGAACAGGGGGAAGCTGTGTTCCTCCAGCCCCCTGCCCCTCCCCGACTGGGGAAGGCGTGGGTTGGGGCTGGGAGAAGGGTGGGTGGGAGAGGCAGCCCAGCAAAGCCTCAGCCCAGCTCCCAGGAGCAGACATGTTGTTTCTCCAACCAGGCACTTCCTGGGAATACTCCCAGCATACCCCAGCCTCTGCAAAACCTTCTTCTGCTCCCCCCACAGTGCCTTGGAAGAAGGACATCCTGGACATGGAAGAGGAGCCTGGAATGAAGGCCCAGCTGTTTAAGAAGGTGGCCTAAGTAGCAATGCAGCTGCCTCCAGCCTGTCCCCCTTCCTCACCCCAACCCTGCATACTGACTAAAGGTGGCAGATCCCACACACACCCCAGTCCTGCCATCTGGGGCTGGGAACCCACTCTGCACTGTCTGGGAAGCTCCCAGAAGCAAAGAGTAAAGGAGCCTAGGCCTGCTCATGGGTAATCTGGCTCCAGACCTTTAAAGACCATTTGCTGGAGGGAGGGATGGGGTGGAGTGAGGGGAGCACAGTCCTCTGGACTTCCGGGACAATGGACAGTCCCTAAGAGGGATGTCTCTGCTATCCCCAGTTATTTTTATAAGGGAACTCTCAGAGTCCAGCAGAAGACTTAGGGTGGCTATGCGAGAAGCAGGAGCCAGCTGCTGGATGGTGAGGACATCCTGCCCCCTGCCTGGGCTCCTCCACTAAAGCTATGTCTGTGCCCTGAAGAACCCAGAGGCTGAGGTAAAGGGGGTTATGCACCCCTAATCCTCAGAAGCCTGAAGGAACAGAGATAACATCATTTAGGGGAGATTCCCAAATTCACAGATGGGTCAAAAAATACTGCAGAGGAGGCTCTGGGACACAGTCTCGCCTCCCTCCTCCATGTCTGGGTCTGCATAACTGGCTTCACCAGTCAGGGAGGAAATCTGAGTAAGAAATCAAGCTGCAACAGAGAGTACCACATACGGGGTACAGCAGTGGGGGCAAAGGCTGTCACCACCTCCTGGGCAAGAGCCCAGCAAGTCCTCTGGTCCTAGTCTCTATCCCAACTCCATGGCCCCTGAAGAGGGCACCTCCCCCCCTGGCCTGACACACAACCGACCAACACAACAGAGCCCCTTGAAGCCCAGGCTCCACCCACCCAGGGGCACCCGTCCACAGGCATACAGCACCTGCGAGAGGTGAGGGTGGCCACATCTGCCTGCACTAGGACAGCCTGTGCAGGGATGGGCTGGGGGTGGAGGAGGAAAGACGGTAGCCACACAGAACTGGGCGTTCATTCCAGCCTTATTCAAATCCTGTTTCTCCACTTGGACATCCCACATCCGGATCAACCCCCATCAATCTGCCCCCCCTTTCATGCAGGTACTTAGCAACACAAGATATGGACCTATATCTAGCCTCACTGGCGGGGGGGGGGGGGGGGTCGGGGGGGGCAGTCCCACAAGGAGAAGGAAGAGGCGGGGCTGAAGGAGGGAGTGGGGAGAATCCGGCTTCAGGCAGGTCCTGGCAACAATGTGGTTTGCACCTGTTCTGCTGAACAGGCCTCAGGCTGCACCCTACCTGTAAGATCCAACAGGGCCTATGAGGGAGGGGGCACAGAGGCGATCGGCATGTGGAGCTGGAATGGTGGGTGGTAGTATCCTCCAGGTAGCACCACTCCCAAGACTCCAACATTAGCAACTTCCATCCAGGATCCCCAAGGACAAGGGTGTCCACCTCTCTTCCCCCTTCTCTCTCTCTCTCTCTCTCTCTCTCTCACACACACACACACACACACACACACACACGCATGCACGCACGGGATCCAAGTTCCAGCTAAAACAATCCTCCCTGCCCTGACCTGAAGCAGTCTCCTTTATTCCAACACACAGCAGCCCTCCACAGATCAGCCACCAACTGAGCCATTTCCTTCAGTGATCCAGAGGTCTCCTAATTTAGTTCCAGCAGAAAGTTCAGGGTGGGGAATCCCTGCAAACTAAGCTACAGTCTCTAAACTGTTAAGAAAACAACTGGGGCAAGGGGAGGGAAGCTGACAGGCTGGGAGGAAGGAGACCCTTTTGGAAATCCAATCCTGGTTGGAGTGGATGGATCCCAGCAGTGCCAAAGTTCTGTTATTTTTTCCTCCACTGTGCTGAGACCCCCAACGATCCCCAAATACAGAGCAGCTTGTGCCCACTTGGGCATCCTGGGAGACAACTAAGGTCAGTTGCCTTCTGGACAAGTCCCCAACTCCTGGCGCCAACCCCAACCCCTGCTGTTTCCACCTTGCAGACACTGTACCCCTCACCCCCAATAGATTTCACTCTGCTCCGGATCCTCATCCCACAACAACCGCTACCCCTCAACGCCAGAGCTGCACTCTACACCCGTCCCCCCGCATGCCAACCCTACAACATCCTTTCTGCCCGCGCGTACAGCCACCTCCTTCATGCACCACCCCTAAAACAGATGCACGCTCCCCGAGGGGCACCTACCCGGCCGGCTCCTGCTCCCCCTGCCTGGGACCAGCGCTCCGAAAAGCAGCCTGGTCCCGCGTGCGTTCCCGCAGTTCCTCCTGTGCACTCCCCCAACTTTCGCAGCCTCCGCCACTGGGGCTCCCCGGCGAGCCGGACCCTCCTCTTAAGCGCTCCGTGACGCACGGGGAGGGGCGGGGGCGCCACTGACGCACGCGGCCCGGCGAGCTTTGGCCATACAAGGGCGCGGGGGGCGGCGCGGTTCCGGCGGGAGGCGGCCAGGGGGAGGCGCGGGGACGGGGAGCCCGAGGGGGCGGGGCGGGGAGGGGGGCCTGGAATGTCTGCGCGCGTGACGCACGCGGGGTTCCATTGACGCAGGGAGCGCGGATTGTTTGATCTATAAATAGTCTCCTCGCGCCCGCCGCGCCGGCTAAAAATAGCAGCTCCCGGACCTGCTAGGCTCCCCATACCAGACCCCGGTCCCGGTCCGGGACCCCAGGTCCGAAATAACGGGCTGGAGGGCCGGAGCCCGAGAAGGCGGCGCTGTAGAGCCGCGGCCGCGGGGCTTCCCCGGACGAGATCTCCTCACCCTCCGGCTGCTCCCGGGAGCCAGCTGTGCCCGGTCCCTCCAGCTCGCGCCGTGACCGGCCCCGCCTTTGCACCCTCCCAGGTCCTTACTGGAGGCCTGGGGTTTGCCCCTGCCGCCGCAGAGCGGCCTGAGCAGGCCGAGGGCTGGGGCGGGCAGCTCGGGGACACACCCTGCCGAGCCTGCGCTCACACATCTGCCCAAGGCGCAGCTTGTGCACTTAACTCGTCTTCCCTAGCAGGCTCTCATGCTGAGAGGCTGCCCTAGAGACAGTCAGTTAGAGCCCCTGCTTAGTCCCTCCTGGCAGTCTCCCCTGCAAAGTACCTTCCCAAGGGCAGGGGTTTGCCAGGCCCAAGCTCAGCCAGTGGGCTCTGCTCCACGCGCCGAACTTGGTTTCTCACCAGTTCTCTCCCCAGCCCCTTACAGGGTGAGTGCACCCTAGCTGGGAAATCACCGAATTTCAGAACCGGGTGGAGCCTGAGAAATATTTTCAAACTTGTGTGAACTCTTCCCCATTTTATAAATAAACGCTCAGAGAAATAATGGCATTTGCTCAAGGTCACAGAGCGAGGTGGTGGCACACTGGGGCAGAACGCTGGACCACGAACTGCATCTCTAGGGGATCTTTTCATTCCCTTCTACCAATCTCTTCCCCCTGCCCACCAACAGGGAGCACCTGCCCCCCACACCCCACCTCCAGCACCGCGTGGGGAGAGTAGCTCAGACCAGTTATCACCTGCCCTGTGGAGCGGGGAACAGCCTGCCAGGGCTGTATCAGCACAGGCCAGGCTGCAGGTACCTGGAGCCTTCTCTGGTCTGGCTGTCACCTCTCCACCTCCATTTCCCCAGAGCTTGGGGAGTCCACCTGCTCCTCCCCAGAGCAAGGTAAGAGAGGAAGGAAGAAGGGTTAACACTGAGGAGAAGAGAGCCCCGTGCCCCCTGCCCCATTCCCCTTCTCCCGTTTAAGTCAACATCCATAGGAGTTCTGCTTCCACTGAGCCCACACCCACTGACCCTGCTCTCACCTCTTCTGCTCACCCTATAGCACTTCCCTCTGCCCTGAGGCACTGCCTGCTCCTCACTTCCACCCTCACCTCCATCACAGGATTCCCACACCCTTGTCCCCAGCCCCCGCTTCTGCACACTCAAAGGTCCCACAAACACCTCAAACTTCATCTGTTCCAGGCAGAGCTTGTCATCTCTGCACCCCCTGCCTGCCACCTCATCTCTGCTCCAGATGCCCCAATTGCAACTTTTCATTTTTCCTGAAATTCTTTTTTGGAACATCTTTTGGACACCCCTCCCTCCCGCTTCCTACTGCCAGGCACAACCCCCACCTCATTGGTCCAGCAGACCAACCCGATATGCCCCTTGACCTCTCCTTCTCCTCGCTCACCCCCATTTAGAAAACTACCCCTTAACCAGCCTGTCTCCTCTTTCTAAATCCTCACGGTCCACCATGGATGGAGCAGTGTTCATATACAGTTGTTCCTTGAACAACGCCAGTTTGAACTGCAAAGGTCCACTTATAAGTGGGTTTTTTTTTTCAACCAAATGCACTGGCATGATGCAAAGTCTGCATATATGGAGGGCCGACTTTTCCTATGTACGCAGGTTCCACAGGGCCAATTGCAGGACTTGAATATGTGCCAATTTTGGTATATGCAGGGCTTCTGGAACCAACCCCCTCAAATACCAAGTGACGACTGTAATACCAATCTCATTCAGAGCTCCCCAGCCCAGCATACAATCTCAATATGAATGAGCCTGCAGAGAGCTCTGAGTTGTCCCAAACCAACTTCCAGAAAGACCTTCAGGGCCAGCTGGGTGAAGGAGAAGTATGTGCAGGATGGTGCCAA